GGAAGGAAGGAAGGAAGGTTGGGAAGGGGAGAAAGAGAGACTTAATCCTTTCAGCTGGTAGATGTGGAACTTGGCCTGGAGCCCTCTGTAGTCAGCAGCCTTGTCCATTTTCCTCATGGGTGGGCCTTGCTGGCCTCTCTTCTGGCCACTAACTGAGGCTAGCCTCCTAGTGCCTCTATCCAGAAAACTCGAGGTCTGTGGAGACTCCAGCTGTTGAGCACCATGGCAGCACATTCCCTGAGCAGCTTCAACTGTGGAGTAGACATGTCATGTGGCTCCTTAGACTCAGGGTTACACAGCTCTCTGACTCATCTAGAAGGTACTGTCCCCTCCTCCGCTGCAGAAGGTTGTTGCTGGGGAAGTGGGGTCTGGGCTGTACCAATGCATGCGTCCCTGGTAAGTGGACACTTTGGAGCATCACTTGATCCTCAAAGAGGGCACTACTTTCCCTCACAAACTCATGTCTAGCCCAGATGGTCATTTCAAAGTGGCCTTCTGAGACTCTCCTGAAGGTTTAAGACCCTTAGCGGCCAGAACTCTCTTTCCTGCAGTCTTGGAGAGAGGGCAAGCCCTCAATTCTGCAGGTCAGTGTCCATCCTTTTACTTTGGAACATGTTGGGAACTCAACTTCAAAGACAAGCTTGACCCTAGAGAGGAGGACTTGTAGCTTTGAGACTGGGCATAGGTAGTTGCCAGGAATGTGGTCGACTCCACAACAGGGGAAGGCACTCTCCTCCACATGGGGCTCACAATACCTGGACTAGGAGTAGCTGCAAGACCAGACTGAATGCAGGGGTGGGGACCAACTATCTCGGTTTGTCCGATTGGCATAGGGCATCTCAGGATGTCAGCCTTTGAGCTTTAAGACTGAGGTGAGGGCTGTGCACACCTGCATCACTGGCATTCAGGAGGTAGAGGCAGAGATGCAAGGTCAAGGCCATCCTCAGCTACTCAAAATTCAAGGTCAGCCTGGGCTATGTAAGACCAACTCAAAAAACAACAAACAAGGGACTGGAGAAGTGGCTCAGTGGGTGAGAGCACTGGCTGTTCCAAAGGATTCAGGTTTGATTCCTAGCATTCACATGGTGGTTCACAGACATCTGTAATTCCAGTTCTGGAGGATCTGAAGCCCTCTGCTAGTCTCAAGGCCTGCATATGGTGTACATGCAGGCAAAACATGCAACCCCCCCAATAAATAAATAAATAAATACATAAATAAATAAATATTTTTTTTTAAGCAAAGGCTGAGGCGGCTGGCATGGTGAGGGAGGGTATGCAGCTGCAGGGGCCAGGCAGCACAAAGCGGAAGGTGTCTGCAGAGAATAGAGTCACCTGGATGTGCTGGTGAAGGGCAGGTGTTCTCGGTGCTCCACACTGCTGGGAATGGTCACAAATACTTTCTCCATGTCAAAGATCACAAACTCATTAACCTAAGGCATAAGGTACTGACAAGGCAAATGTCTGTCCTGGGGAGAGCCAGTGTTTACCAAGTCTAAGCTCTGGTGCTGGATGGAAGAGCCTTTCCGGCCCAACTCCTAGCACACCATGCTGCCAGGCTCCGCAGCGACTCTCCCAGTTCACCATACCCGAGAGGCTTTCCTCTTCTCAACAACCTTGCCTTATCCGGTCTGTACAGAATGACTGCAGTAGGGGTATCGGCATGGTGACCAGAGCAGGACTTTTGTCACTGGTCCTCCAGCACCTTACATGGGGTCAGACTTGGCTTTGCCATCCTGAGTCAGCTCCACCCCTCAAAAGAGCTGTTGAGATATACGTTGTACCTAAACATATGCAATAGCTACAAACCGAGGCCTTTCCAGACACAGGAACTGGAAATGGCATCCCAGCAAAAGAGCTTTGTTTTAGTCAACCAAGGAGGCCTCACCGCACCAGAAGACCCCAGTCAAAGGGCTCATCTGTCCTCTGCTGGGCAGGGACTGCTGTGAAGAGCCCCTTAGAGACTTCTAGGACCATAGCCAGCATTGAGTTGGTCGTGGTATATACTCAGAGAACTGGACAGACCCTGGGGACGCCGAGCAGCCCTGGGTGTGGCCCCACCTCTCAGACTCTCCGAGAAGAACAAGTTCTGCTCTTCAAGGCTGTCTGAAGTCGCCCTGACAGCTACAGACAGCAGCGACCTATGTTCACAGCCAGTGCCCTCTGCCTGTCAGTGCCGGCTTTTCCTTCTGAGTTGCTCTGAGTGAAAAGCAAGGTCCCTGTCAGAGGCTGGCTGATTTCAAGACAACAGCTGGAAATGGATTTCACAGCTACTTGTGTAGCCAATGAAATGGAGGGGACCAAACCAGCAGAAGTGGGCCAGGCTGTGTTCCTGGTGTGATGGCCAGTGCCCGCCACTTGTGACCTTGAGGTAATCTAGGCCACAAATTCCAGTTTTCCAAGGTAAGTCAGAAGTGAGGCTTTTTACATGAAACCTCTTGACTTTAAAATGCTGGCATAGTTAACAAAACAGGCAACAGTGTGAGTCCATCACAAGGTTTTCTAAGCCAGAGATAAATTGTCCTCCAGTCTCACACAAAGGGGACAGCACCTGTCAAAGCTGAGTTTTCCCTCATTCCTGTGTGTTGAAGTGTCTTCTGGGAATCACACTCTGTAAATGGCTTTTTGCTTTGTTTTGAAGTCAGTCTGTGTAGACCAGGCTGGCCTCAAATACACAGCGAGCCACTTGCCTCTGCCACCCAAGTGCTGGGATTAAAGGCATGCGCCACCACCACCCTGCCAATGTCATCTTTAAAAGAGTGGAAGAGAACTCCAATCACAGGCAAGTGGGACATGATCAGCTCTAACAGGGGTTTTTGTGGCTATTGTGAGACAGGGTCTCCCGCATGCCAGGCTTGCCTTCAGAGTTTCTGACCCTCCTGTTACACATTCTAGAGCTAGAAGACTACAGGTGTGTGCTGTCACACCTGAGCGTTTAGGCAGTGTCAGGGACCACCAGCAGGGCTTCACGTGTGCCAGGCAAGCGTAAACCCGCAGCTGGTGCTCAGGCAGCTCCTAATAAGTGCTTGAGAGTAAGCACTGCCAAGGATGGCTTCTCTGAGCACACAAACCATTGTTGCTCTTCTGCCTCTCAGCTTCCTCGGGAGGGTCCAGGGGTTGTGTTAGCAGGTATCATCAGTCACACCTGGCTCTCAAGTTAGTTGTAACCACTGTGAGTTTTCAGTCGAGCCTAGATCAGCACTGGGAAATGAATTCCTAGGTCCCACCTACAGGAGGGCTCCAGCATACAAATTCAAGTAGCAGTCTAGGACCCTCATCCAGGGCAGTTCTAGGAAGCTTGGAACCTAGTCAGTTTGGAAAACACTTAAGATGGATTAAAAAAAAAAATGGTTCACATCTGTAATCTCAGCATTTAGGTGAGTTTGAGGCTAACTTGAACCACACAGTAAGACCCTCCCTCAAAACAAAACCACACGCAAGTTCTCAAAAAATTCTAACACTCAAACTACTCTCATCCTTCAAGTTTGGAGCTCAGGAGTCAGATGGTTGTGTGCTTTAGCTGCTGCATCAGAACCACCTGGTAGAGGGAGTTGTGTATTTTTAGTAACAGCCTTGAAGTATAACTGGCACACCAGAGAGCTCACCTTTTCCAAGTGTAAACTAAATGGCTTTAAGTGTAAGCAGAGGGATGGATCACTGCCTGCCTGCTACTCTCCAGCACTGATGCGGATGGGTGGGGAAAGCTGGGGTTTGTCTAGGCAGCCAGGCATGTGAACCATGTGACCAGCAGCCGCCATCCCCGGGAGGAGAGGACACCAGTGGTGTCTTACAGAGGGCTTTGATCACCACAGTTGGGATGGGTGCTACTTGATCTAGTGGGCAGGCTTCCAGAATGCTGGGCATCATATAATAGGACAGTCCTCACTGTGGAGACACTGTGTGCCCAGACGCTAACAGTGCTGAGGCTAGAAAATTTCTTCTGGGTGTAACCACGTGAGATCCCCAGCCCCAACTCTCAGCAGCCTCCCCAAACTGCTAGGCCATGTCAGCCTCAGGTCCAGTTTATTAGATGTCTTCTGGGGTACTTCTTAAAACTTCAGTGTCAGCCAGGTGGTGGTGGCATACACCTTGGAGGAGTTTGAGGTCTGGTCTACATACAGAGTGAGCTCCAGGACAGCCAGGGCTACACAGAGAAACCCTGTCTTGAAAAGCAAAACCAAACGGAACTACCTCTCAGGGTCTATTTAGTAACAGGGGGACCTGTTAGAATCTGACTTGGGGTTGGGCTGGACACTGAGGCCCTATGTAGCCAACAAGATCCAGGGTGATACCGCTGCCCACTTTGCATGAAACACTATTTTAAGCAGGGTGGGTATGATCCATCGCAAGCCACCCAGGGACGGCTGAGCATTTAAAAACTGACACTAGGCTGGGCAATGCCGCACACCTTTAATCCCAGCAATCAGGAGGCAGAGGCAGGTAGATCTGGGAGTTCGAGGCCAGTCTGGTCTACAATCGCTAGTTCCAGGACAGGCTCAAAAAGAAATACCCACAAAACAAAAACCTCACACTAGACCATACATGGCCCACATGCAGGTGACCCCCAAAGAGATGCTCTAGAAACAATCACCCACTATCCCTGCATGGGGGAACCGTAGAGTAAAACTCACTTTCCTTTCCCTCCCACCTCAATTCTCTCCCTCCAGATAAGCATCCAGGTTTGGATGGGAGACCCACCAAGCCCTGGAGTTGGTGGCTAGGCTAAAGGTCCAAGAAGATCCATGTGAAGCCCAAGCAGACAGGCATAAGGCCTGTTCAAAGCAGAGCTGAGATCCACCATTTCATCAGGAAAAGGGGTACAGAAGAGGTGAGAGTCTAGCCTCTGGTAGGCTAGATGACTTCAGACCATGTAGACAGGACAGCAAGATCCAACTGCGTGGAACTAGGTGAGAACGGGTGGCTTTTGTTCAGCATAGCATCTCCTTCCAGAGGCCGTCAGCAACACCCAGGATATACACGAGGCAAGACTACAGAGCCTGGTAGTAGGTTGAAATTCTTTTTTCTTTTGTTAAAAGGAGGATAGGAAATTGGGATCAGGTACCCCTGGGCTCTGGGGAAGGGGCATGCAGGGAACCCCAGCAGGCAGGCGCTGAGGGATGGGCAGAAGAGTCCTGGAGTTTCCCATAATCCTTTGCAGGAAACAGCAATGCTGGCAGATGAGGTGGAGCACAGAAGGGCCCTTGAGAAGAGGGGGTGGTGGGCCAAGGGGCTTGGGGCTCACTCTAACATGCAAAGTCCAGCTGCCCCATAACTAGGTTGCTTTTGAAGAGCGACACACGTATAAATACATAGACACAGCTACACGCACACATGCGGAGAAGGCTCTGCATTCCCAAGGGTGGGGATCTAGGCCTACTGGCCTCAAGACAGGAGTCAGCCACATCTCCGCCACCAAGTGATTCTCTGAAACACTCCAGGTGGTGGGGCCAGGCAGGTGAGTCTTCGTTGGGATGGCTGCTTGGTTGGTCTCCAAGGCGCTGCCCACCAGGCACCCAAGCCACTTTTGAGTCAAATCCATGCGAGCTGGGGGTTCCTGTGCTGTGAACTTGCGTGTGTGCAGCTGTGCATGCTGGCACAGGACTGCCTGACTGGAGTCCAGTCTCTCCCCTCCAGGGCTCTGGGGTATGTGGGTGCAGACAGAGGAGGGGTGAAGGGGCCCACAGAGACATCCTCTCCCCCACCCCACGGGGCCCTGGCCTCCGGGAGGGGGGAGGGGCCTCCCTTATCTCTCTGCCTCCATGGCAGGGTGGGCCCTTGGTTCTGAGGTGGCCTGTTGGGGGGCCAGAGGAGGCCAGTCTGAAGCTGGGGAAGGGGGTGCCGGAGTCCACAGGGGCGGCTGCGATTGGTGGTGCTGTGGGCCTCCTGGGGGCGAGGCTGCAGTTGGCCAGCTGGGTGTTGCAAAGCTGCCAGTGGCAGGGGGGAAGTGCGGTGGGGGTGACGTGGCCGACGTGGCCATTGGGCTGCCGCTGCTGCCACCACTGTGGAAGCTTTCAGAGGCCTTGAGACGGGAGAACATGGTGAGGGCATCAGGGAAGTTGGGGGGCGTGGCAGGGGTGTTGGCGGGAGTGCACATCTGTGGGGGAAGAAAGGACAGACGGAGGACTGAGCATCCTTATCTAACAGGGCCTCTGTTGTCTCTAAAAAGGAGACACATACCCAGGAGTTATTGAGAGTCACGTGAGCTGCTTGCAGCCCCAGCTGGCCCACCACCCAGGGAATAGATCACAGGAAAAGGCATCAAGATGGGTTGGCCTGGCTTCATGGAGATCATACCACCTGGCACAATGCCTCCTGCCACGGGCATGAGGCTTTCCAGCTTGTGGTCAGCACGGCAGCCCTGGCAGACAGCCTGGCAGAAGCTGAGCTCCAAGGGCCAGTGTTCTTGGGTTCTGAAGGGCCCAGGCTGTCCGCACCCCTGTAGACCCACCTCATGCAAGGCCTACCCTCCCAGTGCACCGCCCTCCTCCACTAAGGTCTCCCTAGGTGGAGCCACTAAGTTCACTGCCCCCCCAGACTAGGAGTCGCCAGTGTGGCCATTTTTGTGTCTCCAGGGGACACTTACCATCTGGTGGTGGTGGCTGTAGGGGATGTTGGTCTCCTGGAAAAAGGCGCTGAGAGCTGTCTGCAGGGAGAAAGACTGTGTTTACCCTCCAACCATCCCAGAGGGACAAGGTGAGCTAAGATCCAGCAGTGTGCCTGTGACTACCACCTGAGGAGGTGTCATGGAACTCACAGCAGGCTGGACAGATAGTGAAGACCTGCATAACATCTTTTTGCCACTAGTCAGGTGTCTGCGGCTTACTGAAGCCCTGTCCCCTACCCCGGCACTGTCTGGACTCTATCATGGCCTGGGTCTGTCACCAATGGGTGGCAAATCCTCATTTGAGCCTCAGTTTCCTCATATGTGAGCCAGGGACTCTTTTCACTTTTTAAAAATTATTTTATTATTATTATTTGTTTTTTTTGGGGGGGGCAGAGTTTCTCTGTGTAGCTTTGGAGCCTGTCCTGGAACTTGCTCTGTAAACCAGGCTAGCCCCGAACTCAGAGATCCACCTGCCTGTCTACTGAGTAATGGGATTAAAGGTATACGCCATGACCGCCTGGTTTAAATGATTTTATTTTTATTTTATGTACTACACTGGTGTTTTGCCTGCACGTGTGTCTGTTGGGTCCCTTGGAACTAGAGTTACAGACAGTTGTGAGCCGTCATTTGGTTGCTGGGATCTGAACCTGGGTCCTCTGGAAGGGCAACCAGAGCTCTGGACCATCTCTCCAGTCTGAGCCATGGGACCTTTAAGGAATTGGTCTTAGCCTACAGGGTAGAGACCTGCTTCTCTCTAGAGGGATGGCCCTACCATGGAAAGTTAGACAGTGACCCAGAAACTGAACCCACCACAAACTGAAAACAACTCTGCAGCCACCTGTTGTTGGCTGGTTCCAAGCTACAGCCTCTCTCAAGCAGGGCTCTATCAAAACAGGAACACTTTTGGTGGACATGGTGGTGTACACCTTTTATCCCAGCACTCAGGAGGCAGACGCAGGCAGATTTCTGAGTTCCAGGCCAGCCTGGTCTACAAAGTGAGTTCCAAGACAGCCTAGTCTACTGCAAAAATAGGGACACATCAACCTCAGAGGCCAGAAATGATATCACCCATTTTACAGACAGGAAAACTGAGGGTGAAGTAACTTTCTTTTTCAAAGCTCTTGGCTGGCATGATGTAGTGATGGGGGCAGAATCCTGAACTGAGATTTTTAGGCAAACTCTCAAAACTGGCTAAAGAGCGAAGTGAAAAAGGGATCTGGGGAAGGGAGCTCCAAAGTGGCTTCAGGAAACCCAAAGGGTGATGTTTGTATTGACCATGCCCTGTCTTGGGCCCCTTCAGGAAAAGAGGAAACTGGCTGCTCTTGTGAAAGTGCTGGGTTAGGAAGGCTGTCAGTGGGTGAGGAGTCCTGAGGAGCCTGCCAAGTCCCAGTCTTGAAGCATTATTACTCCTCAGACAGGCAAGCCAGCCCAAAGCCAGCGGGACTCCGGGCCCCAGGCCTCACCAACACACCCAGAAACCCAGTCTGACTCCCAGGGCTTGCTCTTTTTCTGTCCCAAATATATTCAAATGAACTATCCTGGGCATCTCCTGTTGGAGACAACCCACACCACGGTTCCCAAGCATTGAGTGGGGATGACCCTGGTGACACCCAAGACTCTATGGCAGGGTCAACTGCTCCCCCAAGCACCCACCCACCCAGGACTCCGATATGCCATACCTGATACTGTCCTCTAAAGGCCACTGAGAAACTGCTCAGCTACACAGAGGTCCCCTCCCCCACAGCCTCTGCCCCCATTAGCACCTGAGTCTGAGAAAGTGACCCAGAAACACTGCCTGGAGTAAGTATATTGTCAACCAGGAGGGAGAGGGAGGGCTAACCATGATGAACCCCTCATTCCTAGGCAGATGCCTCAGGTCAAGGGTGGTGGTGGTCCACAGCCTACTCTTAATTTTATCTATGGTGACGGGGTGGATTGTGCAAAGTCCAGAGCAGAGACCCTAGCTGTGTCAGTCAGACTGTTTCCAGGCTGCAGGAAGCCCCTAATCTTCATGGGGACAGTTTTCCCTAATCTTTACAGCCATATTTTTCAGTCCATTCCTTCAAGCTTGAGGGACAGACTGTCCCAAACTGACGGATGGGCTGAGTCCTCCCCACAGCCGGCTTCCCATGGGACACCTGCCTGCCCAGCCTGAGGCAAGGAGGGAGCCTGCGAGCACAGCCACTGGGCTCCAGCGACTGCCATGAATGTGGTTTTACAAGTTTTACCACATCCAGCCCCAGAGACTGGGCAGATTAGGATTGTGGCAGAGGTGGGGAGTAGGGCACTTCCCTGGGGTGGGGCTGCAGTGGGGGGAGGGGAGAGGCCGACCATTCAGGCCTTAGAGGCTGATTCAAACCCTGCTACCCCCAGGGGTGTGGAAACTGAGGCTGAAGAGTGAAGCCTCCCCTCCTGTCTCCTGCACAGGCGCAATGGCCTGAAAGTCTGGTGGGAAGGAGGACACGTTTTTGATCCCACCCCTGCACCAGGAAGCTAAACCTAAGTCTCTTCCCAGAGACTTCTGTGGGATGGCTCCCACTGGGAAACCACGTTCTGGGGTTCCCAACTGGACACACACTACTAGACTGGCTCTTGCTGTGACCTCACACCTGTGAGGAACACGGCTTCAAGCCCTCTGACCTCATCTCTAGATGCTAACAAGGAGAGAAACTGGGGGGTTTGAATGAGAGGATAAGAGGCATCTCAGTGACGAAAAAAAGACTGAGCACAGTACTTTATAGGCCAAGAGAAACCTGGGAGTAGCTGGGAGCCAGACTGCCATTCCCCGCTCCTGTCTAGAATGACCTAAAATTAGTGAACCGTGTGCAGTACACTATCCCAAGGTACAGGTTCGTCTGTCAGGCCTGAGGACGCCCGGGCCTTCATAAGGATCCCGCCCCAGTCACACCTTCGGACTGGGGTACACATATACACATTCTAACAATTTAGTTTGAGGATCCTGCACACCACCTATACACTTCACTGCACCATATGCAGCAAGGCCACCATTAGCAAACCGCCACCTATGTACGCGCTGCACACACACCAAACATGACACACATTATCCCTACATCAGACACAGTCTCGGGCCGGACTTCGTGTCCACACACGCGCCCACATGCCCACAACCTTCGATGTGCCCTGCTGACGCCCAAGCGCGGTGCGTGCGTAAATACAAATGCACATGTACGTGTGTGCACACGCCGCAAGACGCCCACCGGGCACACCGACCCTGGGACCGTTCGCTCGGAGCGACTCCGCCTCCGGCCCGGCCCTGGGCGTCCTCCAGGCGGCAGTCTGTTTCGCCCTCGGCCGTTACCGGGACAAAGGTGAGGGGGGTAATCCCTGTCCTGATCGCCGGGTCCCCGGGGCAGCCCCGACTCCGGGGCTCGGGCCTGGCCGTCGGTGAAGCCCGCAGTCCGCACCCCGGCACGTGTCCACGCCGCCCGCGCCTGTCCCCGGTCCCCCTACGCACCTCGAACTGCCAGTGGGCCGCCTGCAGCAGTTGCTTCGCCTGGTCGGCCGCACAGCCCGCCGTCAGCACGAACTGGTTGATCATCACCTGGTGTTTGAGCTCGTCCATGTTCACGGACATGGCGCCGCCGCGCAGCCCGCTCCGGCCTCCCTGCGCGCTCGCGCCTCGCCTCACGCGTCCACCATTAGCGAGCCGGCCCCGGCTAATACAAATATTTACTGTGCGCTCTGACTCACCGCGCCTCGCTGCCCGGCGGCCGGCGAAGCATGCTGGGATGTGTAGTCCGCAACGCCCCCGCAGAACGGACCGGGGAGGAGAGGGGACGCCCTTTCTCTAGCGAATCTCAGTAGGGCGCGCAGCTCTCGCTCCAGGCTGTGATGCCAAGTCTGGAACCCGGACCACAGCACAGGCTTGTCACGTCCTGCAGTCTGCCGTGCTTAGCATCACAGTGTTAGCAGGCACTCTCTTAGGGGGCTCTCTGAAAGCTTTGACCAAACTCCACTGCCTTAGGCTGCAAGGCTCCGAAAGTCCCGAGACTTAGAAGACGCTCGGTGAACCACAGCATCTGCCTCTTCCAGGCGCTGCTTGAAGTCACCACCTCCACGAAGCCTTCCTGCGCAAGCAAGGCATCGTCGCCTAAGTCTCGGCCAGTTGCGCAGGAGGAGCGTCCACAGCCCCTGTGAAACTCTGGCCAGGTCAGTGGTCTCTGGAGCCTTGGAGTCCCTTTCCCTTCGGTTCCCACGCAAAAGCAGAAAAACCTCCGTAATCTTGCGGGCGCCAGGACCCCGCGGAGCTCTTACGAAAGCGGCCACGAACTGCCATTCCCAGAATGCCCCGGTTTATTTGCATCTTTCTGTGTCTGGTGACGTCACCTGAGTGAGGCCGCGGCTGAACCAATGGACGGCCACGGGGTGTTAGGACCTGGCCATATAAGGTAAACAAAGCTGGTCGTCCAATGAGGCGGCGGCGGGGGCGGGAGCGTCACGTGGCGTGGAGGCGGGGTCGGGAGCGGAGGGGTCGGGTGGGGTGTTGCAAGCCGTGTTTACAGCCCCGCACATGCCGCTTCCGGTTGGTGTCGCGGGTGGAAGAGTGGCGGGCCCGAAGTGGGGACCGTCGCCGGAGGCTGGGGGCGAGAGCTAGCGTTGTTCCCTGGCCTTAGTGACGGTGACTGGGTTCTTTGCTCTTCCTGGCCTCCTGCCACAATAGACCCGACCCGTATGGGGGCGTTAGGTCAGACACCCCGTGAACAAATGGGCACTCATAACACGGACACTGCCCCAAGGAAGTAAGCGCAGACCGTGGGAGCAGACTACGGGTTTCTGAGGCGTTTTAATACACTTGATCCTTTGTTTCTAAGTAGGACTGCTGTGGCCGTGAAGGAGTGGAACCCAGTTGATAGCTGGGGAAGTTTCTGTGCTCTTCCTGGTTCCTCACTCCTAGGGACTCTCCGATTGGGTGGTTAGAGGAAGGTGGGCAGGGACAGAAAGGTCCCTAGGCTATACAGTACTGAAGAAAGGGAGTCGGGAGGCTGGGAGGACTCCTGAGATTTAGAGCTGGGAGTTTAGCTTATGAGTAGGTGCGGGACAAGTGAGTGTCTCATTTTCTTAGTCATCTTTCCCATCTGTCTACAGAAAGTAGGATTTCAGCTCTTCTCTGCCCTTTGGGGGTCACTCAGAGCAATGTTCTTTGCAAAGCAATAGTATCAAAATATTTTTGCTTTTGCTGAGAACATGCCTTCATCTCCAGGAAGCATCTTGCATGTGCCTTACTGTAGTCAAAGCCAGCATACGAGGAAATCACATAAGAGGCAGCGCTGACGCTGCTTCCTTTGTTGCCATGGAGATTGCAACAAAGCCTGAAGGAAGGTGGGCAGGTTGGTAGCTAGACAGACCTGGATGGCATTTTTGACTGCTGTTTCCTCAAGTTCTTGTGTGGGAGCCCTCCTAGCTGTGCTGTGTGGGATGGATGATTATGATGGGCCTAGCAAAGGGCCTGGTACTCTGTGTACCAGATCCGTCCTTGGTCATTCTAGGAAGTGCCCCTCCCATTTTTATAGATAAGCAAGATTAAGATGTCTTTCAGCCTTACACTTGTGACATTTAGAGCTAGAAGAAAAGAACAGCATCCATTGGACGAGCAGGATCTTTCTGGCAAAAGAAGCTGAGGGGATCTTTTCCATTTATGAATATCGCGCACGCATGCGTGAACACACACCTACTCTTATGTAGTCATCTCAGTGACTTGATCAGACACCCCCCCCCACATACCCCTACCCTATCTATGTACGTGGTGACTTGCTTAGCCCAGAAAGAACTACTCCATGTGGGCCCTATACTTGCAGAACAGAAAAGGTTGACAAAGGGGAAGAAGGTCACCCTACTCCCGAGTTCCCTCAGGTAGCTTGGTTTTCCCAGGGGTGGCAGGGAAAGAAAGCAACACTATTTTCTGCCAGCATTCACCTAGCTGGAGGGGGAACTTTGGGTTTTTTAGCAGGCTGGGATGGTACTTGAGAGCAGGGCCAGAAGAGTGTGAGATGGAAAATACGGCATTCCAGTACCAGCCTTCTCTTACCTGAGGGTCAGTTAAGTTGAGAACCTTCTGGGTTCACAGAGCTAGTCAATAAAGGGCGTGTTACTTCCTTAGTAGTCCTCTGGTGTTCTGCCCTTTGATCTCTGTTGCCTGACTCATCACCTGACACATGGTAGCAAATAAATATTTGTTGAATAAAATTAGTCATTTAATATGTTGAGAGTGGAGCTTATAGTCCAGCGGCATGTGAATAAACAGCTGGAGGGGCTTAGAAGCACCTGAATTCAAATTCTAAGAATGATGTTTAATAAGATGGCTACTTGGTGAAATACCTGCCTTGCCCAGGATCTTTACTTCAGAGAGAATATCAGAGCCCTCAGGATTTTCCTTGTCTATGATATAATCAAATGCAGTGTGCGTGCACCACACATGCACATGTGTTTGTGTGAGTCACATAACATGCAACACATATGAGATTCGCATGAACCTGTTAGGAGGTTCACCAGAAAGAACTTTTCTTTTTTGTTTTTTGAAGAAGACTGCACCAGTTTGTCTGTATTAAGCTCACTGATCTAAGAGCTCAAGATATTTAAAGTAGAAAGAGTTTATCCCACCTCACAGTTGCAGGGGATGGTTCACTGTGGCAGAGAAGTCAGGGTGGGAGCTTGAGACAGGTGGTCACATCACATCCAGAGTCCAGAAAACAGGATCCAGACTCACTTCACCTCCTCCATTTTATTTTATAGTTATTTATTGTGTGATGTGGGGCATCCTTCTGTATATGTGTTGCTTTTATCGGCTAATGAATAAAAGCATTTTGGCCAATGGCTTAGCAGAGTAAAGCCAGGTGGGAAATCCGAACAGAGAGAGTAGGCAGAGTCAAAAGAAATGCCGTGTAGTTGCCGAAGGATAAAGACAATTAAACCATAGCCTCGTGGTGATACACATATGGATAGAAATGGGTTAACTTCAGATGTAAGAGCTAGCTAGGAACACTCCAAACCACTGGTCAAAGCAGCTTTATTCATTAGCCAATAAAAGTCACACATATACAGAAGGACATCCCACTTCAGTTGTGTGTTTGTGTGGGTGTATGAATGCCATGGTGTAAGTGTGGAGTCCAGAGAAAACTTTCTGGAGTCAGTTCTTGCCTTTTGTGACTTTGCTTTTGGGATTAAAGTCCGTCCCAGTGGCAAGTACCTTTCCCGGTGAAGCTATCTCAGTGGCCCAGCCTTCTCTATTTTATACAGTCTGGGATCCCACTATCAACATCTCAAATGTCTGATACAGTTTAGGGAATGCTACCACTCACAGTAAAGATGTGTTGTCCTACATCAGTTAATATAATCAAGACAATCACACACCGTCACGTTAGGGGACCATCTCCTAGGTGATTGGAGATTCCGTTAGGCTGACAATGCGAGCTGTCCTCCTGTTTATCTCCTGTGTGACTGGAGTGGGGCATTTTACTTGCCTGAGCCTTACTTTTTCCTCTTGGGTAAATTGAGAATGAAAATAGAACTTATGCCAGAGAAATAAATGAGAGAATATGTGTAGATCCCTCAGGCAAGATGCCAGTATATAAACAGTGTTTGGTCATGGAGTTGGGTATGGTTGTGCATGCTCAGACTCCCAGTACTTAGAGTCATGACTTGGAGACCAACCTGGGATACAGACAGGCACTGTCTGGGAAAAAAAGAAGCTTAGCCTGTGTAGATCTCATAGGGTACAAAATGTGCTCAGGCTCCATCAAACACCTGGATTCATTTTGGTGTTGAAGATTCCTGGTGAAATTGAAATCCCGAGTAATTGAACTACCGTGGTGCAGTTGCAAATCCAAGCGCAGTGACTCGAGTTGTCTGTGGATTCTGGTTCTGCCATGGACTGAACGGGATGCCTGTCAAAAGCGTGTGGCTATGAGCTTTGTGGTGACTGTGGCACTTGAGCCAGGCAGTCATGGTTCCTCTGCAGCTTAAGTTGGTTGCAATAGGTGCCGCAGTCACAGAGAGGGTGGTGGGATGCCGAGGAGCTATGTAATTCCCAGTGACTGTCTTCAATGCAGCCTGTGAGGTAGATGTATTGAAATTGCATCGTTGGTGCAGTTGAATAATCAGGGCCTTGCTTCGATTGGTCCAGACACATCTCCACTGTAGTCATTACTGTGTGTTAAGCCTTGTGATTCTAAGTGTGTTGACAAAGGTATTGTGATTGTCTTTCTTTACCGGTCGGTAGTGCTAATTTGCTGGTGTAGTTGAGTTTGAAGAAATCTGGAGAGCTCCTATACTCTGGCTTAGCTGAAGGATAACCAGAAGCTTGACTCTTTGGAGATGGAGGAGGTTGCTGGGGTGGGAGGCACAGTAGAGGTGGATGGTGAAGCCTACTCCTTGAGGGACAAAGGAAGTCACTTCAGACTATGGAACTTTGATTCCCATGTAAGAAGAAAAAGAGTTTCCCAGCCAGGAAATGTAGCCTCTTAGGATGCTCATTCATGTTCCTTAATTGGAAGGCCCTCTCGGGTCCTGAAGGGTCTCTGCTAGTTTCACCAGCGTGGTCTCAAGGGAAATCTTGTCTCTGGTGAACTGAACGGCAATCTTGAGCATGCCCTCTGATTGGACAGCCACTCCCTTCTTCAGCACTGGTTCCAGGGCTAGCCCTTTGTCATTTGAATGTTATCTTATTCAATTATATATATTGTATCTGTTGTTCCATCGTCCAGCCATTTCGATCACCTCTTCAGCCTGCTCTCAGTCTGTCTACTCGTAGTGTTTTAGTGTTTTGGCTGCTTGGCTGCATCCCTCCCCTCGCCACACGGCTCCCTACCTTCTCCCTCACTTGAGGGTCTCTTGCCTTCACTCTGCTTCCCTCTTTAAGGAGGCCAGCAAGGCCTGTGCAGTTGACCTTCTCTGCACCCTTGCAGACCCCTTCGTGGGAGGAGCCTAGAGGACTTTGTTCAGGCGTATTGCATTCTAGTTTGGACTATGGTGAATTTGCCATCTGACGCTTCACCTGCTGCTAGTCCTAGCTGCTCTGGCACAGCAGGTTCAACTTGGGAAGCATGTCTAAGAAACTCAGTTTCTTATCTAAAAATCATAAAAACAGATTTCTTGGCATCCTTACAGAAGTGTGAGAATCAAAGCCCGGGTATAGCTTGTAAGTTGTAACGTTGCAGTGGGTATCCTGATTCTTCTGAACTTGCTTTACTTACAGTCTGCCCTGCTTTGTGCCTGAGATTCCCAATGTGTAAAATGGGGAGAAGTCTGTGTTTAGTGGGTGCTGTAAAATTACATACCCATTGCAAATGTCTTGACCGACAGAGGTGATCGGGGGTTTTGGCCAAGACCCAACCAAGTTCTGCCTTCCTCTATGAGCTTGGAGGGCCACCCAGTTACAGACAGGTAAAAGGTGTTCCCTTTGCGACTGGGGGACGGGAGAAAAGGTCGGGAAGTGGGGAGAGCCACTGTGGCATGAAGAGATTTTCAGACTGGGTTGATGTGGGAGACGGTGGAGCTTCCACGAGTGTCTAAATATGGATAGAAAAGGAAGACACTGAGGCATTCTGGGGTCAACATCCATCTTGGCCTCAGAGGTTAGCATCGTCTGAGGGAGGTACCCCCCTCGCAGCCTGGGCTTCTTGGTTTGTCCCGTCGTGGCAGCTCACGTGAGGGTCATCTGGGAAGCATAGTGCGCACGCGCTCCGTGGTCCTGCGTGCCGGGCCAGAGCGGACTCCATTTCCCCTGGAGCTGCGGGACGGGGCGGGGCGCGGCGCCAGGCTAGGCCAGGGCGGCCGGGGGCGGGGGTTGTGGGGAGGTGCTGCCGCGCGGTGGACGCGCCTCTGTGCGGCCTGCTCTGGGCCATGTCGGTGTGAGGACGCCGCAGCCGTCACCCCTTCCTCTGGACCGGCCAGCAGAACCGCGCACCATGGGCTCCATTCTGAGTCGCCGTATCGCAGGCGTGGAGGACATCGACATTCAGGCCAACTCAGCCTACCGCTATCCCCCGAAGTCTGGTGAGCTTCCGGGGGCGCGGACTGGAGCGGGGGCTGGGGACACCAGGAGGCTTGGGGACTAGACAAGCGAGCGTCCTGTCCTGAGGCTGACCGTCCTCCTGTGCCCCTTCCTGGTACCTGTGGAGTCTGAGGCGTGGCTGCGGCCCTGGCTATCCCAACTGGCCGCTGTCGCACCCTGTGCGGCCCCTTCCTAACTGGTGACCTTGGGCCAGTTGCTTTGCACAGCCCTACACATCCGAGCTTGGCATCTCTGGGGTCAGAGTGCGGTGAGGACTGCCTCACCTCCGGGGTTCGCCAGCTTTGGAGGCATAAAAACCGGCCCCAGATCGTGACAACTCTTTCGGATTTGGATCCAGGCTTTTCTTCCTAGCGTTCGGGTGCCGGACACTAGTATTTGACTCAGGGAGGTGATCGATGGGGAGCTACTGGGGTTCCCCTGGAGGACTGGATAGTAGTTGGAATGGTTGGAGAGGACTATTGTACTCTGCCTTCTTGTTCAGGGCAGACACACTGATAGATTATGGGAGCTGGGACCTGCATCAGATGTGGGCTCCCAGAGTAGGCTGCTCCTATCCTATCCGTTTCCTCTTGTGTTTAAATAATAAATAAATAAACAAATAAATAAATGACAAGATCTTCTTATGAAGCCCAGGCTAGCTCAACTCAATATAGCTAAGAGTGATGCTGAACATCTGATCCACTTGCCTTTACCTTACAATGCTGGGATTACAGATGTATACCATTTTGCTCAATTTTATGAGATGCTGGAGACTTGAACTTAGGGCATTGTGCATGCTAGTCACATTCCTAGACCTGCCTTTTGTTGGTGTGGTTGTTGTTTTGTGTTTTTTTGTTTTGTTTTAAAGACAAAAGCCCTGTTATGTAGCTGTGACTGGCCTGGTACTCACTGTGTAGCTGATTTCAAACTCGAGGTAGTTCTCCAGCCTTAAGCTTCTGGAGCTGAGATTATTGGTGTGCCCCACTATGCCCAGCAATGCTTGTTGCCTTGGTAGTGGATGAGTGTGGCTGGACAGAATTTTAGCTACATTTATTTCTATACAGTTTCCTGGTGGGGTAGAACATTGAACCTATCACTGGCCTCCAAACGGGCCTTTAGGTCCAGTCTTTTGGGTGTCTAATGTGATGTTTGCTTATCAGATGTTTTCAGACCAACCAGACCAGATTTCTTGTGTGGTCCAAAAGTATCTGCTTCCTTCAAACATTTTGGGTGAAACTTCAAGACTTGTTTTGGCCTAGGGTAATGCATTTTAAGCCCATTTTCTCTGGTATACCTGATGTCCTCTCAAGTTTGAGAGAATACTCTGTTCGTGTGAGGTTCTGGGAACTGTCAGGATGTCCTGCGTGAGTCTCAAGTACAGGCTGTGTCTCCAGAGGTTCCCTTGGAGACTTCAAGGGCTGACATCTGCATATCAGTTTCCCCTTCTGTAAAGTGGGTTGCTAATTTATAGTGTGCACTTAAGGATTCTTCGGCAAATGTTAGCTACTATAACTGCTTCAAAGGTAACTAGGTGACTGACCAGACCCTAACAATATTTGGCAGTGGTGTAACAGATACTGGAAAGCTAGCTTACTGTGGCATGCGCCCTCCTCTGACTCCTGAGTAGTCTTAGTGTCCCTTTCTCAGGCAGTAGGATAAACAACAATGTGTGGTGTATGTGTGCACTACAGATCCACGGTAGCAGGCATTCTGATTGCTTACGGTACTCGGCCAACAACCCCAGAGTATCTTAGCCAGCTGTGGCACAGCAGCTGAAATCCATTGGCCACCTGGGCTTGCCTGGGCTGCCATTCATATATCTCTGAGTTCTGGGCCTGCCCAGTTCAGAGGTATTCATTTCATAGCTTTTGGTGCTGGGGATGGCACCTAGGGAGTGTTAGTTTGTACCGTATCCTTCTAGACAACCATACAGACAATGTGTCTTTCATTGTTATTCGCTCCTTTTTCTTCACCTAACATGGGAACCTCAGGATCTTGGTGTATGAACTGGGGATGACAGAAATGTTGGACGTTTGAGGGGTGCTCCCATGAGTTGTTCAACTTTATGAAACTGTTTTTTCACGCTTCTGCTGGTTTCTTGATTATTTTGAGGGGAAGGTGATAGTTTTTGTTGCTTTCCTTTCCTTTCCTTTTTGTTTTTTTGAGTCGGGGTTTCTCTGTGTAGCTCTGGCTGTCTAATACTCGCTCTGTAGACCAGGCTGGCCTCGAACTCAAAGAGATCCACCTGCCTCTGCCTCTTGAGTGTTGGGACTAAAGGTGTGTGTCACAACCTCCTTGAATCGTTGTTTTCTTTAAAACTGTTTGTTTAGGTGGTGCAAACTTTTAGTCATAGCTCTATGAGACAGAGGCAATAGGATCTCTATGTAAACTAGACCAGCCTGATCTATACAGCAAGTTCCAGGCCAGCCAAGGATATACAGTGAGACCCTGTCTCAAAAGCAGTATCATTTTTATTTTATGTGTGTCTGTGTGCTAAGTGCCCATGGAGGCCAGAGGAGGGAATTGGCTTCTCTGGACAGTTAGTTGCTGTCTACCATGTTGGTCCTGGGAACTGAACTTGGGTCAGTTACAAGAGCAACAAGTACTTCCCCTACTCTATCCCCTCAAGGTAGGGTTTCTCTGTGTAGTCTTTCTTGGCTGCCTTCCAACTCACAGACCTCCTCTGCCTCTGTCTCCGTGCTGGGATTAAAGGGAAGCACCAGCACTGCAACAAGTACTCTTAACTGCGGAGCCATCATTTGAGCTCAAGCAATTAAAACATTTTTTTAGATGTATTCATTTTTGATTTTATGTGTGAATGTTTTGTCTGTACCATGTGAATGAGTGGTACACCAAAAGGCTAGTAGAGAGTGTTGGCTATCTTGGAACTGGAGTAAACCACCATGTGGTGCTGGGAATTGAACCCAGATCCTCTGGAAGAGCAACAAGTGCCCCTACCCACTAAGCATCTCTATAGCTCCCCAAGTAATGCTTAACATCTCATGTGGTCCAGTTTTCTTCCTTAGGGAATTTTTCATGTGCTGTCAACAATGCTGAATTTGAATTCAAATATATCTGCTTTGCTTTGATCCTGTTTGTTTTACCCTGAACAGCTTTGTTGAGGTATAACTTGTGAACCATATAACTGATCCACTGTAAGCATGAAAGGATTTCTAGTAACTAGGGTAGATTGTGCAGCCACCATAACCAATTGTGACCATTCTCTCCCCACAGTTAGCCTGTACCTGTTTGTAGTCAGTCTTTTTCTTTCTTTTTTTTTTTTTTAACGTTTATTTATTTATTATGTACACAGTGTTCAGCCTCCATGTATCCCTCTGGACCAGAGAGGGCACCAGATCTCATTACAGGTGAGCCACCATATGGTTGCTGGGAATTGAACTCAGGACCTCTGAAGAGCAGTCAGTGCTCTTAACTTCTGAGCCATCTCTCCAGCTCTGTAGTCAGTCTTAACAGCAGAGTCAGAGTTTAGTTTTCTGCCTTTGCATTTTTTCTTTTCTGAACACTTCACATAAATAGAATCATACAATCTAGAGGTATTGTATCTTTGGCTTAACATGATGATGCCTTCTGGAGACTACTGTCCATTAGGTTGGCTTGGAATTTTCTGTATAACCTGTGCTGACTAGAACTCAGGATCCTCCTGCCTCCGTTCCAAGTTCTAGAATCCCTTCCCTTGAAGGAACAACCCTGTGTGCTTAACATTCCAACTTCCCCTAGTGCATATCTGTGAGCACAAAGATGTCTGTGCCTCCCCTATGTTCTCACAGCCTGGAGTTCTCTGTGTAGGCCAGGCCTTGAAACTCAGGAATTAATTTAGTTTTATGTGTATTAGTGTTTTGTCTACATGTGTTTTGTTGTTTTGTTTTTCGAGACGGGTTCTCTGTGGAACAGTCTTGGCTGTCCTGGAACTCACTTTTGTAGACCAGGCTGGTCTTGAATTCACTGAGATCTGCCTGCTTCTGCCTCCCAAGTGCTGGGATTAAAGGTGTGCGCCACCACTGCATGGCCTACATGTGTGCCTGTGCCCCTGGAAGTCAGAAGACATGATCGTTTAGAACTGGAGTTAAGAGACTGTCATGCGTCACCATTTGGTCCTCTGTAAAAGCGCAAGTGCTCTTAACCACTGAGATATCCCTAGCTCTCTGGTTTGTTTGATAGATATTTTGTTTTTGTTTTCTGATAGAGTTTTATTTTGTAGGCCATTTGGCCTGGAACTTAATATGTCGCCCATGAGGCCTCTCTTCCTCTCTCATGGACAGCCTCCTGTTTCAGCTTCTTTCCTACTGGGATTACAGATAGGATGGCTCAGTTTAACAGTTTATAAAAGTAAATAATGCTTTTGGATTAATATTAAAGAAACTTGCCTAGTTAGTCACAGATTTTCTTTATTTTGGTCAGGGGTGGCGTGAGTTTGTGCATGTCATATGCATGCTTATAAATGTGTGTGTGGGTTTTTGCTCTCTGCCTTCTATATTGAGTCAGGATTTCTCACTTGAACCCAGAACTGGCCAAAATTGCCTATTCTAGCTATTCACGTTGTTCTGGGTATACCCCAACTCTGCCTCCTGTGTTCACCCAGCATTTACGTGGACACTGATCCAAACTCTGGTCTTCACATTTGCCATGCACACCCTTGACCCACTGAGTTGTTCTCTCAGTCCTCCTAATTCTTTCTAGCTTAAGAAAGAGTGACATCAGAGAATAGCTTGCTGGAGTTGGTTCTTATACTGCGTGGGTCCTGGGGATTGAACTCAGGTCGTCAAACATGGCAACAAGTTGAGCCATGCTGCCATGTCTTCATTTCAAGTAAAGACCGTCCTCTTTCTGTCAGAGTGCCTCTGCCATCTTTCTCCAAACTCAGTTTATTGTAAATAGGAAAGGGTTTATTTCTGGACAACATTCTCTCCCTTTCCTTTGTAATTCTTTCCCAGTGTTTCTCAACTGAGACAATTTTGTCACCATCCCCCCTCCCCACTTCCTG